TGTTTGTTTATAAGAAGAATTTTGTTTGGTTACAGCACTCTTATCTTTTAAGAGTGTCTTTCATAGTTTAAATGTTGTTCAACTTTTTCATTATTATTATTATTATTATTATTGTGTTGATTAATTATTAATTCTTGTAATTGTGATATAATTATTACTAAAATTTCAGTATTATTACTAGTTGTATTGTTGTTTTGTTGATTAATATCTAAATTACTTAATTATAAATGCTATTTATTATCCTTTCTTTCATTGCATTCAACTGCATAATGCACAGCTTTATCACATGAGAAACAAGTAATTGTTCTTTTATTAGTACAGTTATTATTGTTTGATTATTATCTTATTTCAGCATTTTTCTTAGAATAACATTCTTTTTCAATATAATCTCTTTTTCTATAATAGTTACAAGTTATAATTCAGTTATTATTGTTATTGTTATTACTATTACTATTATTGTGATTATTATTCTATTGTATTGATTGATTATTGTTGTTATAAGCCAGTTGTTTTATTATTTTGGTAAGTTCAGCCAAAGATTTTGTTAAATTATTTGTGAAATTATTGTTGAAATTATAGTATTTGGAATTGCAACATTTTGAACTGATAAAGATATTGAAAATATAATTTGATATGGATTAACTACATTATAAGTTCTATTATATCCAATTTCAGTTTGGATAGCTAATTCAATTGCATTATTTAAAAGTTGCTGAATTTTCATGTATAACAAAGAAAGCAATTGATGAATTAAGATCTTTTATAAATTTATGAATTTTGTAATCAGCTGAATAGTCATTATTTGGATCAATTTTATTTAATAAGGTTTATTTATCTTTTGTATATTAAATGACTGTTTTATTTGAATCCTGAATCTTAATGACTAGTTGTTGTTTCCAAGTCATAATTTATATATTGGTTTTAAATTGAATCATGAATTAATTTTTAAAAGAAGTATTATCATTTTGAGTCCAAGTTCGAGACCAATTATTATGTATTTGTTTTCGTTATTCATATTAATTATCAGCAATATCTTTGAAATATGCAGGTACTACTATAATTTTTTTTGTATTGGTTATATTGTTTGCTTTAGCATATAATTGAATTCTTCAAATCAGATAATTGAATTATCAGTTCCATTACCTTAAAAAATTGATAATGATAGATTATTACATTCAGTTTGTCAATTTTGTTGTGCAGTTATTGCATTAATTAATAAAGTAATAGCTTTAGCCATATGTCTAATTGCTTCATCTGTTATTTGATCATTTTGTTATGGTGAAGGTATAGATTATTGTTGTATTTATTGATTATTTTGCTGAGTTTGTTGTTGGATTGGTTGTTATAGTTGTTGAATTTGTCAAGTTTGTTATCTTCTTTGTATTTTTTTAATTCTTCTTGTTGTGACTGTTTGCTTTTGTAAATAGTAAGTTCAGCATTGATTAAAGTTAACAATATCTTTACAAAAGTTTTGAATATAATTGATTATTTCAAGTGGAACTTTGTTGCTGTTATCAGAGATTAGCTATATTAATTGTGTTGTTGCTGTATTATTATCTTGTCCAAGTAGTTGCTGAGTGAAGAGGATTTTTACTAAATTAAATAAACAAGTTCTATCATTGTTTGATAATTCTTCAATTGTTAATGTGATTATAAGTAAATAAAATTATCTTTGCACTTCATTGCTGTTGATCTTGTTGGATTCAGTTTTTCTTTGTAATTTTTGCTTTACAGAGGGAGCACCAAAAATCTGTCACCGGTCTATAATCTTTGTTGATAAAGATATTCACGAAATAGATGATAGTGACTGTGTTCACACAAAAGTATATAATATAAGTCTTTCTAAATACGAGTTCCAATATTAAATAACAAAGATTGTATTTATTATTTTTATAAGTGAAGCTTTATAATGAATATAAATAATAATTCAACACATAATGAATTATTATAACAAAAAAGACAAGAAATTCAATAAGAATAAGATAATTAGAATAATTAGCAGTCTAATTTATTCTTTATTATTGTCAAAACCAAAGGTAAATTATATGATGTCTAATTTTTTATATTAAATTATATTTATTTAAATATATATTAAAGTAATACAAATTTACAAGATTTGTAACAATGCAAAGAACCAATAAAATAATAAAGTTATAACATACATAATGCCAAAAAATAATAAATATAATACAAATTAATCTAAGTATTACAATTGAAATTAATGAAACATTGGCGTTATATTAAATAAATTAGATGAATTAATAATCAAATTAAATAGATTAATAATTAGAAATCAAGAATCAATAAAATATAATAACTAATAATTAATTAAAATTACATAATAAATAAATAAAATGATTGGTGATTTATAATATCACTAGTTGTAAATAAAAGATAAATAAATAAATGGATAAATAAATGTTTATAAATATAAATTGATTAAATATCACTTGGAATCTGATAATATCTCATGTTAGATGATCAAGAAAAATGTGAATGGTGACAATATTAACAAGTAAATAATAAACAAGAAAAATTAATAATCTAGAATAATATTCTTTATGTGAACAATATATATGTACTATAATTGATTTTTAATCAATATAAAATCTTTTGATCATTTGTCTAATATCTTATTCATATAATAACATAATGAAATAAAGTTTTATTACAATATGAACATACCATTTAAATATTGGCAAGCTCATATAACAATGTAAAAATGATGATTGTATAATCAAAATTTGCTACATTATGTGAATACATCATATTATATAAAACAACATTTAGTATATCATATAAATATATTATATTCATTATTCATTTGATTCAAAAAAAGAGAAATAATAATATTATAAATTTAATTTATATTTTTATTAGTATTAGTATTTATTATAATTATTTAAAAATATAAAAAAATTCTGATAATTTGTAAATTAGTTTTCTAAATATATTATGAATTATAGAATATTATAACTAATAAGATTTTTTATATAATATTTTCAAATTACAGTCAAATTCTTTTATAATTACTTCTATTTATAGTTATATTTTTTTATAATCACTATATTTTGCTTTTTTATTTATATATAAATATAGTAAAAAAAATCTCTCTATAGTTACATTCTCTCTATAATCACCAAATTTTGCTTTTCTGAAAATGATAATTATAGAAAGATTTGACCATATCACTTTTTTATCACTGTAATATCTATTTTAGTTCTTGTATAATTCATTCTAAAATTTTGAACAAATTATAAAAAAAGATAATAAAAAGAATTTTAAGACTTTGCTATAATATTTCTTGATTAGTAAAATTCAAATTCATCAGAATAATCCTCAAAAATTCAGATTATATAATAATTTTTTGATGAAATCAGTGATTATAATTAATTAAATTACAAGATCAATATATAATACAAAAATTCAAAAATAAAGAAAACAAAAACATACTTTTAAAAAAACTTGTATCTCAAAATCTAGTCTATAAAACTATTTTTTTTGTTCTAATAAAAAATATTTTTTGCAAAATTTCACTATAAATATATTTTTTGTTTGTCAAAATAATCTTGATTCAAATTCAAATTCTAATTCTTTTCGCATAGTACTTTAGTTATAATAAATAAAATATATAATATATATAATCTAAAATAAGTTTATTAAAATATTTGATTAATACTAGATATCAAGAACTAGAATTAGAATTAGTATTAGAGTCGAGATCAAAGTTATATATAAAATTGTCTTTCTGATATTTTTGATAGTATATCAAACTAGATTTAGAAATTATTTTTTGTATTTTTTGTATTTTTTCATTTTTTTGTACTGTGTTTGTTTTGTTAGATTGATCAAAAATTTGCAACATTCCTATTAATTGCACATATTCTTATTGATTGAATTAGTTTATTATCATGTGCACTATACATTTTATTCGCTATGACTAGGGTACTACTTTTTGTATCATTAATATCATCAAAGAATTATCATGTGGTCTGAACTTTTGGTAATTATCTAAATTCGTAAAGTTTAATCAAATTAGATCTTTTTGTAAACTTTTTTCGGAATCAATATTAAATTGAAATCACATGATGAATTTGTTTATAAATATGTCCCTTTTCATTTTTATCTGTCAGATTTGTTTTGCTAGGCTAATCAAAATTTGCATGCTCTTATTGAGGCTATGCACAAACTATCTTATTCACAATCAATTTCTCATCACATGATTTTTTTGATCCCTGACAATCTCGAAACCAATGAGGATGTGCAAATTTTTGATTAATCCAGCAAAACAAATCTGTACAAGAAAATGAACAATGCAAAAAATATGGGAAATAAATATCTAAATCTAACTTGTAGTATTAATAACCAATAATGGAAAGACAAGTTTATATATAATCCTACTCCAACTTTAACCTAACTCTAGTCTTTAATTAGTGCAAAATGTTTTGAATAATTGTTGTAACTGGAAAAATCAAATAACTTTTCCAGCATCACCAACAAAAATTTATACTTACGTGATCACAGAAAATTTAACGTTAAAAGCTATTTTATCATTTGAATTAGGGTAGGAATTAGATTGGAGCACAATGCTATATGTAAAATTGCTTTTCTGGTATTTTTTATTAGTGTTTTAAGCCAGATTTAACATCTGTTTTCTGTATTGTCACATTTTTCTCTTTTTTCATTTTTTTGTGTCAGATTTGGCGACGCTATGAAAGTTAAATTGGATCATAATCACGTGAAAGGAAAATCGATCGTGGGTAAATGCTGTGCGCACTATATATAGTCTTGATTTTTTTATTCTCTTGTTGTTTTTTAGCTGCAAGTTTTTTTTATTACGTCTTCTTCCAATCAATTGTCTCGTTTTTTTTATTGTAACTTTTGAAAAAGTATCAGGTAAATACTTTTTTTTCTATTGTTAAGATGAAACTGCAGATTTGTATTTTAAAATATCGTTTTACGATTGCCCATTTCATTTATTTTTAGAATTAAAAAAAATGATGACTTCAACGGATGAAAATGCAGCATTGCCGAATGAAACATTCTCAGTTGCCCTTCGAAACGCACTTATCGGTGCTGAGGTTATTCGTGTTGAAGTCAAAAGCACGTATGACCTTTCACAGTATGCTGTTATAACACATGACGATAATAGGGTACTCTTCGAGCTAAAAAAATTGTTGCTTGAGGATGATAAGGCAGTTGTTGCTTTTCTCCAGATGTTTCATGTGGTAGTCCAAGCAGGAATATCCGAAAGAAAACTTTTCGGTTTCGAATTTGAGTCTCTAACAAGCAAAGAAAAGATCATTGATGATTTACGTGAAAAATATAAAGAACGTCTTGAAGGTGCATATACTTCTTACATCCTGGATTTAAATGGTTATGAACCATCGGTTAGCTTACGCGAATTTCTCAATAAAAATAAATGGATTATTGCTGGTGGTGCTGTTGCTGGTCCTTTTATTGCTCTTGGTGGTGTTGCAGTATTAGGCTTTGGTTCTGGTGGTATTGCTGCTGGATCGATGGCGGCTTGGATGATGTCCCTTTATGGTGGTGCTGTTCCAGCTGGTGGTCTTGTTGCTACTTTGCAATCTGTTGGTGCGGCTGGATTAGGTGCTAGCGGGGTGTTAACTGCCAGTGCGGCTGGTGGTGCGTTTGGTGCTTTTGCTGGAAAGATTAAAGGATGGTGGCATAAGGATAGCGGAAATTAAGATACAACTTTATCTCACATCAGAGATCGGAAATATAACAATATACAGTAGAGTAATATTAGTAGAGTAATAATACTTACATTTCCATATTTGTTATATTTTTTATCAATAAAATGGTCTTTCCAATATATGAGGTTACGATATTGTGGATTCGGAATCCATTATAGGGAATCTTTATTATATCAAGATTTGTTATTGATAAGTTATTACATCATTATATATTAGACTGTCTTTGTAAAACATTCGTTTCCACGTAAAGTTTATCGAGTATGTGGTAACAAATTCGGAGTCAAGCTCATGCACAATCAAATTCCGCATATAAATTAACTGGATAAAGAATTTGGCATTAATACAGTCAAACCTCTATACCGATGCCTCTATATAACGATATTTTGAAAATATCGCTTTAAAAAGGGTGTTTTAGAGTACTTATTACAGTTACACAATATAAAAAAACATCGCTATCTCTACCGATATTTTTCTGAATCCCGACTGTAATGCCAACCAATGCAAATAGTAACACTACGAAAAAAATCGATGCTTGCTTTTTGAAGGCGGTCGAATTTTTTTTGAGAATTTGCACTGATGTGATGAGATTATAACATTTTTGCAAACTCTACATTCGCAGGCAACTTTATATAACCGAAAGAACCATTAGTCTGCAATGTACTTTGTTTCGCGTTATATTTCTTACTAATATAACAACAAAGCCTACTGCTCACCGAACTTTCATCTATACGAAAGCTAATTATTGGCCAACAATCAAATTCTATTCTTTGCTGTTGCATTCTCGAAATCATGCGCTGACTGAGATCATAATGGAAATGATAGATCCTAAATTTTTGAGGTTTGTAAAAATAACAAATAATCAAGCATCTAATTTTTATATCTTTTTCATTTTTGAACACGGAGAGGCAAATATACAACAAAAATAACTATGAAATATTATTAAATGTATTAAAAAAAAGGCTTGAACACAAATTAGGAAAAAAAACTTCTTTTCAAAATACCAATTATATCATATCATTTTTCAATTTATTCAACCTCATCATTTGTTGTGATTCAAAAAGTGACAAATAGCAAATACTGCTTTTAATATCATGCTCATGAAAAGAATAATAGAAAGGCAAGATATTTGTTCAAAAACCATCACTCTTAAGCTGTCATTGCTGTCTATCTTTTTCGTTTCCTTTCCCTTCTTCCTGCTCATCTCTTAAATGCAAAGTGCAATCAATAGGATGTAATTAAATTGCAAATGTTCTGATATATCTTGATCATATCGTAAAGCTCCATATTCTTCACAATTGCTTGCATTGTTGAACCCATTCATCACTGGCTTGGTGTTCACCCCACAGAATGTCTTTTTCTTTTTCAACAGGATCAATATATGATCTTGATATCAACAATTTGTGCAATAATAGTTTTATAACATTATCTTTATCATTAAGACATGTATACATACTCTTTGAGAGTTCATAAATGTTCAAATATTCCATTCTCTTCTTGATATCTAATATATAGTGACACTCTATATTTTCAGATATCACACCAAAATTTATATAAATATCAAGATAGAGTAAAGAGAAAGATATACTGCTGTTAATTTCAATATAATGAGCTATCTATTTGAATATATTATTTATCCTATATTATTTAAAACTTGCTTATTTTTTTGTTGTTAACTAAATATATAATGAGATCAATATAAAAAGATAGAAATACAAAAATAAAAATAATTATTTAATAAACTTGAGCTTTCATCTTTTATTTTACTTTAATATTATAATTAAAATTATTACTTGTAAAAAAAATTTAATAATAAAGTTATTTATTAATAATTCTTATATATTATTAGTTATATACAGTCACATAATCCAAAGTTAAGATTAGTATATTGATATATAGCTTAGAAAATCTGATATTAATTAATAATATTACATGGGTTTAAATTTTTAAAAATTATCCTAATGAATTTATTTAGAATAATATCAAATATTTACTTGAACTTGAACTTTTAATCAGATTCAAATTTGATTTAAAGTTCAAATTGAACTTGAACCAAACTTTTAATTGAATTTGAATTTTTGAACTGGATTTTTAATCAAATTCAAGTCAAGTTTAAGCTCAAACTTTTTTTTTGAAATTCTAATTAAGAGTAGAATATTTAATAATATTAAATATTTTATTTTTAAAAGTAATTTTTAATTAAATTTTTTTTTGTATTAATTTTGTTTTTAATTTAATTTATTATTTTTATTTTTATTTCATCAAAAAAATATTATTATTTTATTTTAAATATTATTCAATTATAAATTCAAAGTAAATTAATTATTATTCTCATAATCAAATTTCTAGTAAATATTATTATAATATATGTAGATATTTAATTAATATTTCTTTAATTAATTTTTAAGTGTAATCAATTTTGATAATTTAATTACTTTGAGATTATTATATAATATGTCTTTTTTTAGCTTATAAATAGACTTTTACTATTATTAATAGATTATAATATCTATTTAATATAAAATAATCCTAAAGCAATACAGAACTAATATTTTTTAGCAACTTTAATTGATATTCAATAATGTACAATTAATATAAATATTATAATATAAGTTTATTATTAATATTTAAAATTAATTAATATAATACAAATTTCATTAACAATAAATAAGAGACAATTTATTAATTAACTAGATTTTGTATTAATCAATTAATAATTTATTTTGAGAGCAAGAACATTTTTTTTATATATCTTTTTTGAACTAAGTATATATAAATTAATTATAACAAAAATAACTTAATAATAATCAATTACAAATTAATTTAACTAAAAGATAGATTCAAAAAGATCAAATAATATTTAAATTGAATAAATGATATTTAAATTGAATAAATGATATCTAAATTAAATAAATATTTAATTTGAATAAATAATATTTAAATTGGATAAATTATATTTAAATAAAATAAATGATATTCAAATCAAATAAATTATGTTTAAATTGAATAAATGATAATTGTATAATAATATAATGTTATTTGAATTATAACACTATAAACACAATTATTATTACCATTTTGAATTACTTTTATATGCAAAAGCTCAAATGATAATATTTATTGAAATATAATTCAGATTTATTTCAGAATATATTTACACATTTTTTTTGATCACTTATATTGATTATATCATCAAGCTCAAACTCATTTTGATATTCAATAGTCAATATATTATAACAACTTTTTCACTAGTTCATTTACAACTTCTCTGAATAGAATCTTTATATGTTTCAAGCTGTTTTAGGATCTGTTCTTTAACATCTGTGAATTTGTGTTTTGTATAATTTATGGGATGTGATATTTGAAATGTGAATCCAGAAAAAAAACCAACTTCAGATAATGGAACTGATTGCAAGTTTTTTTTAACTTTCTTATTACTTGATTCTAATGCTTGCACAAAACTGCTGCCTACTTATACCCTTATTTCTGTTATATGGCTAGTTTCTGTTCTTTCACGTTTCTTTTTTGTCATCTTCATTGGCATCAAATCCCATTTATCTCATCCTGTTTTCACTTGAGAAACAGTATAATAAATATCTTGTTCAACAATGGTAATCACTCTTTCGATTTCTAAATTATAACAGATAAACCTTTGTTGAAACCAATATTTGTCAATTGCGTAGTTTCTGCAAATAAAGTATGTGATTCTGGTTGTGAACTACTAAATCCTACTTTGAGTTTAGTAATTAGTTCCAAAGAGCTTCTTGATGTATTCTGCTTTAAATTATCTAAATTAGTCATTTGTCCGGTCATATTTTCCTTTATGAATTTTACGCCAAATATTTCCAGAGCCTAAAGCAAAGTAGTGCTCCCGCGTCAAATTGATCGAAGGTACTGCTCGAAGAGCTTGAAAAATATATTTATTAACACACTTTTCGTCCGTTTAAATGTTCAGAAAAGAATTGAGGTGCCAGGTGTGGTTGGTGTATTCGGTGAGTCTAAAGATGTTAGGAATTATCTTTAACTTTCAATTTATGCATGTTGAAATTATGCTTTATATATAATTTCGCCCGAATAGATTATAACGATAGTTCTACTCGTAGACTGTCCAAATACAGAATTTGCAGAATCAGCCCAATCATACAAGATGATGAACAAGTCTAACACCGGTCACTCGCGACGAATTTAAATGGATACTAGACTAGTTTTTTTATCCTCTTGTTGTTTTCTACTATATTTTAGTTACAAGTTTTTGTATTGCGTCTCTCCAATCAGCTGTTTAGTTTCTTAAGTCCTCTAAAAAATTTTAGATAAATACTTTTATTTTTTTTCTATTGTTAAGACGAAACTGGATTTTTACTTTAAAAATATCGTTCTACGATTGCCCATTCATTTTATTCACGACTTCAACAGATGATTATCGCCGAGTGAAGCATTCTCAGTTGTTCTTCGAAACACACTTATAAACACGTCTTGAAGGTGCATATACTTCTTACATCCTGGATTTAAATGGTTATGAACCATCGGTTAGCTTACGTGAATCCCTCAATAAAAATAAATGGGTTATTGCTGGTGGTGCTGTTTCTGGTATTGCTGCTGGAGCGATGGCGGCTTGGATGATGTCCCCTTATGGTGGTGCTGTTCCAGCTGGTAGTCTTGTTGCCATTTTGCAGTCTGCTGGTGCGGCTGGATTAGGTGCTAGCGGGGTGTTAACTGCCAGTGCAGCTGGATGGTGGGTGGTATAAAGATAGTGAAAGTTTAAAATTATATCCGAGATCGAAATGAATCTCATAATATGAATTATATAATTGATGGGGATGAAAAAATTCCTAGTTCTAAAATTGACACGGACTTATATTTTGTCTTTTTATTAACGTTAAAAAAATAAAAATTATAGAATCTCGATGATATTACTATACATAGTTAGATCATAATTGTGGTAACCAAAACCATTGTCGCACGCGACAAAAAAAATTCATTTGGTGAAAAATTTCGCGCAGTGGTTCTTTTGCGATGCAACAAAAAGAGTGGTCTGAAATAGTATTATCATTACATAAAACAAGATACAAGATTCTTTTGCCAAATTCTAAATGTTTGATATATCTATGCCTGTGCATTTGGACGTTATTGGTATTTAATTTTTGTGGTGTAAATGCGTCGGCGAAAACACTCGATTCACCGTCTGTGGAAACATGGTTGAAAACTTCTTGGGATGCACCCAATTTATTGCTTGAAATAGTGTAAGTCTATGAATGGATATGTTTGAATATTGATATCCAATTATTTCATTTTATAATTAATTAATTAATTAATTATCTTTAAACCAGCGAGTCAGTTGCAGCCGAGAACTCTTCTGCATATTTTCCATACATAACAGAACTATTGGCTCAAAAGTCGGAATTTGATCCATCATCTTTATCGACTTCTAATTCTTCATTATCGCCAAAAGAGATATATACAAAAGCAATAAAAATCCTCAAAGATTCACAACTACTGTCATTTTCCTCTTCGTCATCATCTTCGGAAGAAGAGAGAAGAATCACAACATCGTTACTAGAGTTTTCTCTTTCTCTGCATTCTACCGCGCCAACTATACAAGCTTTCTATCAATATTTTAATACGGCTGTGCTAAATAGATTTCATAATGAGAATAATAGTAGTAGTACCGTGCATTTTGATGACAGTTGTGAAGTTTGGGTTGATTGGCATGGACACCAGGTTTGTACTGCCGAAGAATTTAGACGGGTTGCAGGAATTAATAAAGTAACTGATACGAAATATCAATTGAATTTTCATAATGATGATGGGTATGGTATATTTATTCGTATTATACAAAAATTAATTGATTCCAAATAAATAAGTTATTTATTTATTTGTTTCTATTGTCTAATATTACAGCGAAAGGAAAAAACCACCAGAACTCTTTCCTTTCGACCACATTCTACAATCCTCTCGATCTCTAATTGACAAAAACTCTGAGAGCGCAGTCCCGACAATAATCCTATATATTTCTAGTATTTTGGCACCCGAGTTCGCTAATTTTCATGAATTGTTAGTCAAATTGGTTGATCAAGAATTGGCTCATTATGTTCTGAGGTATATGCCACCGCCATTGTCATCAACACTGTCAGGGGATGATAAAACTTTGTATCTTGCTGGTTATGGTGTGGAATTGGCATTGAAAAATACAGATTATCTTGTTATTGATGATCGGAAAGTTGAAACTGGTATTTATATGATTTGATGTTTCTAAATCTGCACACATGTATTTATGCTTACAATCAAATCTAATAATTCAGCAGATGATGAGAAAGCATCAAAAACTGACGCAGAATCTGTAAAAGAATCGTCATCTGCTAGTGATACTAGTGCTAATAAAGATGATGATCATAATGATGATAATAAAAATTCAAATTCTGAAAATGAGAATCTTTTTGACGAAGATTCTGCAGTGATAAAGCAGCTTAAAGTCGATGAAATCAAAGGTATCTGAATTTATTTTTCTTAAGGGTAGAAATAATGATGTTGCATTCCAGGAATGCTTTTGTCTTGTGTTTTTGTTTGTTGTTTAATTTTGAAAAATAACAACGAAACAATATATATACTATTCTTTGTTATTATCAATGTTGGCAATAGTCATGATGAATCTAAACAACAAGTGAACAAAAGAATTAAAGAATCAATTTTCACACAGATCTTGGAATTAAGGCCACACAGTTTATTTTGTCATCTCAGAATCCCATTTCGACACTTGTCATTGTTGCACAAGATTTTCCAATGTATTCGCATATAATCGCGACTAAGTTAACCTTGGGTAATAGTGAATCGTTGGTTTCGGAAATTCAACAGAATCAGCAGGTTTACGTGGCGGCTGGTGCGAATGCGTTTTGGCTTAATGGTATGACGTTTTCGATTGCGTCTGTTGATCCTTTCAGGTACGTTTGTGTATAAAGAAGTAAAATCTATTCATGCATTTTTCGTCTTCATCATATAATTTTTCATTTACATGCCCAAATTCAAAACTTCAGTCTTTTAAGAATGTTACGACGCGAACAGCAAACAGTCTTTTCATTAAAAAGTCTTGGTCTCAGCTTTAAAAAATCGATTGATCTCCTTACTTCTCCGATACTAGTAAATTCCAAACCAACGGAAAGTATCACCAAAGGAATGTTTGATGTACGTGACAAATCAAAGAGCGGTACCACGGCTGTGTGGTGGAATGATCTAGAGAAGGATGAACGGTATGCGGATTGGCCTAGTCGAATTAGAGAAGTATGAACTTATATATACATAAATTATTATTTTCTTTAATTCTTTGTATTCTTTTTTAAATTTCTTATTGGTATAGATCCTCCGTCCTGTATTCCCTGGCCAGCTACATTACCTTCGAAAAAATTTATTTTCCGTACTCTACGTAGTTGATCTTTCGACCGGGGAAGGACTTCGACTGGTCGATGAATCTAATACCTTTGTGAATCGCGATCTTCCGATACGGTTTGGAACGATCCCGCTTTTTTTCAATGGAGATCATCAGAGTGATTGTGAGTAGATGATTTTACGCTCAACAATATTAGAATTTTTTCTCATTCTTTTATTCTTTATTTAGCATATATAATGGCAAAGCTTTTCTACTATACTCTTGATCGGTACGATCGCGCTTCTGTTCTTTTATTTTTTGCAAAGGTAATATAATAAAATGAAAATAAAGAATTTATTATGCTTATTTATACATATTTCAATAACTAACCAAACAAAAAAAAAGGTACGGGAAGAATTAATTCACACAGAAAAAAGTATCCGCGACATTGCCCGCAAAGAATACGAGGCAATCTTTAAAAAACACAAGCCAAAGACATCCACTAATGACGATGATGACAAAGAAAAAAAGGATGACGATGAAAACAACAACCAATTCTTATCGTTTGATGAAATAATCAATGACGATAACGAGAACAGTAAGATTGGTAATGAAGTTAGAACGCAATTAAGAAATGCGGCAGATTTTATGAAGCGCTTTAATCTTTTGCCGGAGATTCATGGTGGTGATGGGGGAGTTATGTTTGTTAATGGAAAGTATTTTGAGATTGATCAGGTAAATCATAAGATTATTATTAAAATGAGTTATGTAATATGTCTTCTGGTTATAATTCATTTCAATTTTTGGTATATATAGTTGTATCAACGAAATCTATTAATGACAATATCCGAACACACGCAATTTATACAACAAAAAGTAAGTAATAATGAAGGAGGATTAGATCCTCTATCTATTCTTTCAAAAAAAACATAGTTTAAATAAATAATCAATAATAAGGTATACCACGGTCATATTGACGATACTACAAACATACACGACTTTCTACTCTCACTACCAAATGTTCCTTCGCGAAGAAACCCTCATATTTTCGTGACTGAAGCGAAGCCATTAAAAGTTTTGAATCTTGTTACTGCGATGGATAGTAGTAGCTCTAATATTGTTAGTTTGAATGATAACCATGAAAATAATATTCAAGAGGGAAGAGGACGAATCACAAGTATTGACGATTTTGGGTATATTGTTTCAGGTATTTAATTGATTGACGTAACGGTTAACTTTTTTATAGTGTAATTTTTATAAATGAGCAATGCCATTATCTCTGTTGTTTTTTTTTTTTAATAAAGAGAAGAATACTGGCGATTCTACTTCAAATATTCCAATATCTGTTTGGATCATTGCAGATTTTGAAACTTTGTCAGGAATCCAGCAAGGATTAGAGGCGCTTTTATTTCTGGTAAGTTTCTTATTTTACATTTTTTTTTTAGATAAAAGTCATAGTATGATTTATATTTATTGTATATTACATAGGAAAATTTTCCAAATGTCAGATTAACTCTACTTCACAATCCATCATCATCGTCCTCACCATCAAATTCAAATAACAATAAAAACGACAGTAATGCTAGTATATCCACATTAATATATTCATTATTACACGATCAAGATAAAGATACTTCGTTGTCGCCACAATCTTCATCGGTATCTCATAAATTATTAAAAGAAATATTTGAAGAAGCAATCAACAATAATAGCAACAAGAACAGTGGAACTGATGAATTTTCAACCGTCATTAAAGAAATAAATACTGAAAAAATAACTGGATGGCAAACTATTGACCGCATGAAATCCAGTAATTTCTGGCACGGACTTTATCCTCTTTTGAAAAATTCGTTAAAATTGGCAGGCGGTGATATTGGGATTGTTGTAAATGGACGGGTATGTGTATGTTATGGATATGGAAATATGTGTTATATTGGAATGTATTAAATTTATTGATATTTGTTTTATTATAGATTATTGGACCTTTATCTTGTGAAGAAATTTTCACTTTTGAAGATTTGGTTCTTTTGATTGACGTGGAACTTGCGGAACGCTTAAATCCGTTCCTTGATGCCGTCTCGTCGTTGAACATTATTAAGGAACTTGAAAAGCAAGATGGGTAAGAATTAAAGTATTCACGTATTTGTTATTTTCACATTCATTTTTTTTACCTTTTTATTGATTAATTAAAATAATCTCTTTAAAAAATTACACTATTTCAGTGACACTAGTAGCAGCTCAAACTCAAAAAAGTACTCTGACTTTATAATGAAAGCATCCTCGATCATCTCAGCGTCCACCGTTTCGGATGTTCCACCAGGAATAATGGATACTGAGGAAATGAAACGTGATCGTCCATACCTTAATATGTCGGGAAAGTACAGGTAAGACTGAGTTTCTTTTTTTTGGGTGATTTATTGTGCAGGTGGTTGATTAAATTACTTTACTGAATTGGTATTTAATAATTGCATTCTATCAATTAGTCGACTCGAAATAGGGAATATCGAAACTGCCTTATTTCAAATAGGTGTCATTCTTGATCCTGTGAGTGAGGTGGCACAAAAATGGTCAATTATTTTAAAGGTAACTTACTAGAGTCGATTGTATATAATATTCTATTACAAAAGCATAAATTTTATTTCCGTTAAAATTGCTAGACATTAACCGAGATCGAAGGTGTACACATATATATATATTTGAATCCACATTTATTGCTGATGGAATTACCGCTAAAGCGGTTTTACCGTTATGTATTGGAAACGAAGATGAAATTTGATATTAACGGGTGAGAGGATAATAATAATATTATCAATATTATCTTTTTTAGTAATATAAGAATTAACTTTAATTTTTATAATATAAAAGAAATCCAATTCCACCTTCCGCTTTATTTAACAATCTACCCGAAGATCCACTGCTAACACTAGGATTGGACACAATTCAAGCATGGCTAGTAACTCTACTATCCTCGGTCCACGATCTTGACAACATAAAACTAAAAAACCTAGACCCATCAAACACTAAACGAGGACGACGACGAGGTGTTGAATCAATCTTCGAACTAAAAAACCTGCTAATAGAAGGTCACGCACGAGACATCACCTCCAATAAACCACCTGGTGGTCTACAACTAGTGCTTGGCACAAAAAGCAAACCGGCACTAGTGGACACGATCGTGATGGCCAATCTTGGCTATTTCCAATTGAAAGCTAACCCGGGTGTTTGGATTCTTGGACTACGTGAGGGTAGATCGACCGAGCTTTTTGAGGTCGAGAGTGTCGGCAGCGAAGGATGGTATAGTCGAACGGTTGATGAGATTGGAAGCTTTATTTTCGTGTATAGTTTTGAGGGTGGGTTGATTTACCCGAGGGTTAAGCGGAAACCTGGAAAAGAACGTGAAGAGATTTTGGTTGCTGTCGATAATGAAGGTGATGTTGGAGGAGATGGAGATGGATTATGGGGTTATATAAAGTCAAAGTCAGTAATTTCCTTTTTAATGTTGATGTCTTATTGCAAAAAAAAATATCATCAAAGGTTAATTCGTTTTAATAGATTTTCGCATACATCCAAACACGACCACTCACAACGAAACTTACAAAAGCAGCAACAAAAGGCAGTCATCAATATTTTCTCGGTAGCATCCGGACATTTGTACGAACGGTTCTTGTCAATTATGATTGTTAGCGTACTTCAGCATACAGATAGTAGAGTGAAATTTTGGTTTATTGAAAATTTCTTATCGTCTTCGTTTAAAGTAAGTTTAATTTGTGGATTTAGGTTATTATTATTTTTCTCTCATTATTCAATTGCTTTACAGAATTTTATACCTCATATGGCACAAGAATATAACTTCGATTATGAATTAGTAACGTATAAGTGGCCCCATTGGTTACGAGGACAGACTGAAAAGCAAAGAACGATTTGGGGGTACCCTTTATTTCATCATGTTAAATCTACTTGCACATTCGAATAGAAAATAGAATAATTCATTCTTCCTACTTAAAACCCTACATCATTGCAGCTATAAAATTCTATTCTTAGACGTTCTATTCCCACTAGACCTAGATAAAGTGATATTCGTCGACGCAGACCAAATAGTGCGTACGGATTTGAAGGAATTGGTGGATATGGATTTGCATGGTGCTCCCTACGGATATACCCCGTTCTGTGATAATAGACCAGAGATGGACGGATTCAGGTTCTGGAAGGAAGGATATTGGAAGGAGCATTTACAAGGAAAACCATATCATATTAGGTAATTCATTCTTGTCATTCTATTAGCGTTTAATAATTGTATAATGAATATAACTTTCTGAAATTTATTTACATTATTGATTTTGATCAAACAGTGCACTTTACGTTATAGATTTACACCGATTTCGTGTAATGGCCGCAGGAGACAGGCTTCGTGGCCAGTACCAATCACTTAGCGCCGATCCTAACTCACTAGCGAATCTGGACCAAGATCTTCCCAATAATATGCAACATGTGGTCCCGATTTTCTCGTTACCTCAAGAATGGTTGTGGTGTGAGACTTGGTGCAGTGATGAGTCGTTGGCTAAAGCAAAGACTATCGATTTGGTATGTGTGCCGAATAAAACGTGTTTTTTTTTTGTTTTTCGAAATTATCTGTTTGTGCGATTTACACATGCTATTCTTTTAGTGTAATAATCCAATGACAAAAGAACCAAAACTTGATCGTGCAAAACGTCAAGTTCCCGAATGGGAAACGTACGACAATGAAGTTGCCGAGTTTGCCTCAAAAATTGCGGCTAAATACACCACAGTTTTACAAAAAGACGAAAAGATCCTCACTTCAACGATCATCCCGGAGCCTCTATCAAAAGACGTGAATGAAGAAAAGATGCAGATCAAAGATCAAAAACAAGAAAAACTAAGTGAACAATCATCTACAATATCATCATCCTCTTCATTATTACTGGAGTCGATACAACAATCAACATCGTCATCATCCAATCCTACATCACAAATACGCAACAAAGATGAATTGTAAAAATGTTTAGTAATAATTTAATAGAAAGATAGAAGTATAGAAACATTGCAAATTAAAGAATTAATTGATGGAAATAATAGCAAACAGACTTGTTTTCTAAAGATTAATTAATTTAATAAACGTATTGATTATTTTTAGTGTTTTAAACAGCAAGGATGTTCATTATTAAGGGTAGAGTGCATGTCGTCATTAATCTTATGTAAAGAATGTGCAAATCATATAACTCTCATGGCGTTTCCGTAGAGTAGTATCCTAGCGAATACCTTTATGTCAAGCAAAACGGCCTCCGAACTACCTCCGATCCGGAAATACTATATTTTAACACTATAAAATTGGAGTTAGGGTTAGAGTGAAGGACAAGTTTATATATAAAATTACCTCACCGACATTTTTTATTAATGTATCAAGCTAGATTTGAGCATTATCTTCCTATCTACTATTTGATTTAGATCTACCATACTTAATGTCTTATATTTTTTTATACGTGTTTTCACTCCATCAAAATCTTCAAATACCGGAATGCCCCGTTTTTTGCTTGACATAAGAGGGATTTACTTAAATGTGCAGGCGATACAAGCTTCCCGAATAGGAAAGATGTGAATAGTAACGCTAATTTATCACCTGGATTAGGGTTAGGATTAGAGCTGGAGAACAAGATTATATATAAAACTATTTTCCTGATATTTTTTATTAATGCTCCAAATCAAATTTTAACACTTGTTTTTCATATTTTTCACATTTTTTATTTTTTGTATTGAATTCGTTTTGCTGGATTGATCAAAAGTTTGCTTATTCTTATTGGTTTGTGCCATTTGGTAGAAACATTATTAGTCACAAATTTTCTTATTTGAAAAATTTGATTTGTTTATTCTTGCACATTTAAGTGTATGTAACATAAGGGATTCTATCCTAGTCATAACAAATAAAAAGTGTCAATCACGTGATTCTGATCCCAATATTGATCATCTGATTTTTTTAACTATAATATATAAGACATATTGCAACAAAATCAAACAAAATGAACATTTTATAAATAAGAGACTGATTATAATGTGACTGTTCACTTTATCATATTGTCACCGATTCAATATCGACTATAATTTCATATAAAGAATACATGAACAAAAGATGTGGCACGATAAAAATTAGTCATAATGATATTTAGACTACGTAATTGGTTCGATAATATTCTATTTCTTTCTATTTCTTTCTATTTTCTTCTTTTTCTTTTTCGTATTATCTATCTTTCTATATTTATCTTATTGTTATCTTTATTTGAATATATTTATCACGCTATTTTTTTGGCAAATTTCATTATTATCTATATTAGTTTAGCCTTTATTTTCTATTTTTGCTATTGGTATTTAGATGTAGAACA